TTTTTTTTTTTTTTTTTTTTTTTTTTTTTTTTTTTTTTTTTTTTTTTTTGTTCTGGCTTTGGTTTTATTTGGTCTCTTAAATAGGCTACTAATTATTCTAAATGAAGAATTGAGATGACTAACGTCTTTTGTATACTCTAAATAAATCAGTTACGAATCATTTAGCGTTCGTTCTGATTCTCTGTTCGTTTCCTTAATTCATTAATTTATGACTGAAACATTTTTGACACCTTCATTCAAGGGGCAGAAATTCAATTGAGAAATAGGTCGGGAGAGGGGTGGAGAGTAGGGGTGTTCGTGCTGCAGCTAATTGAAAATGTTCAAGCAAAATGAATATTAATTGTTTTAAATAATTTTGAACTTGGCAAAAGGCAAAGGTACGCTGTCCACACACCAGCAAACAAATACACACATAATTGGACCACACAGACACACACAGACGTACATACACACAAACATATGTATATGTATATGCGCGCGTGCTATACAGAAACTTTTGACTTTGCTTCTGCTTTGCATTTTCTTTTTGTTTTAGTTTTCGCTGACAGCGTTGGCGCTGTCGCTGTCGCCGCTGCCGTCAGCGCAGCTGTTTTATTGTCGCACGCTTACAGACAGACAGAACGTAAGTTGTGATTCTCTTCTTCTTGCACTGCGCTCAACTGTCTGCCGCAGTCATCATCGACAGCGGCCGCAACAGCAGCCAGCAGCAGCAGCAGCAGCCGGCGCATGTTTTTGGGGCATTTGTGTGCGTCATTCAGCTGCAGACGACAGCAGACAAAAGCAACAGAGGTTGAGCGCAGAACGCAGAGTTTTGCATAACGTATGTAATTTATGTGTGCTGTCGTGGTTAACATTTGCGCAATCCAATTGGAAAGCACACTACCGTTACAAATTTCATTCAAAGTGCAATGAGCGTCAAATGTCTGAGTGTGCGCCCACAGCTGATTCGATTGACACACACGAGCACGAGTATGAGCACGAGTACAGGCGCATACGCACGCTCTCTCTCACTCTCCCGCTCTCAGTTCTAACACACACACGCACAGAAAACAAAGCGAGCTGCGCTACGGCTAAGGTGCGCGGTCGCGTCAGCCAGTCTTCTGATTCTGCTGCTGCCGACGGTGAAGCGCGCGCGCACGCAAAACAACAAAACCAAGTAGAAAAACCAAAATATAAAATAAAAAGAAGAAAAAAGGCTAGAAAAAATGCCAAAAAACATAATAATCAAATAGATTGTACATAATTGACGCAACGATCGCTTCCTCTTCCTACTCCATTTAACGGTGCGCGCAAACACAATTCTGTGTGTCTGCCTGTGTGTGTATGTTTGTGTGATTCAATGTGCGAAAAAAAAAAACAACAAACAAATCAAATTAAATGAAACCCAATTGAAAGCTTTGCTCTGTGAACTTTGAATTTGCAGCTGAGCGCTGCACCCGCTGCTCAGTCAACAGTCAACCTGAATCTGAATCAAAGCAAAGCACATAGTAAACAACAACAGAGTCTAAAAAAAAAAAAAATTAAATAAATAAATAAAACCAAACCCCCAAACAAGTTGACCAAGTGACATCAAACATCAAGCGTGAAGTGGACTTGAAAAACGCGTTCGGCGATCGGCCGCCGCTCGCCCAGTCACCCGCTCACACAACCGGACCGCAGTTCGGTCGCCCAAGCGCCGCCCACTCCTCTCCATCGCTCGTAACCTTCAAAAAAGCAACAAAACTGAAAAAAAAACTTGTCGCATTTGACACACGTTACATTTACGTTTTAGCTCGTGCCCCCTGCTCTCTCTCCTTGACATGCCCTGGCCAATCAACTGACGCCAATGCGTCTGTACATGGGATTTCGCTCTCTTTGCATTACAGTTATCTTTGCATACAGCTGTGCGTAAGCGCGCGTGCATGTGTGTGTGTATGTGTGTATTTTAGCATTTGTATGCAGCGCCTCACGTGATCGCAATTGCACACTTGTCGAAATTAATCGTTCATCGCAAATTTAACGATAGATTGCGATGAGTCACGATTCGACTTGTGCAAAATTGAGATTTTATGGCTAACATATGTAAATCATAATTTTAATTTGTAAATGCACATCAATTGAAATTATAAAACTATCTGTGAATTATTCCATTTATAGAACATTTATTATTCTTATCGCTGCTCTCAATCTAAGGATTACTTCAATCGTATTCCGCACTAAATTTCTAATCATTGCGACTGCAACGACTGCTTCAACGTTGACTCATGAATTGACATTAATTAAGAGTGCAATCGTTCGATTTATACAATGATAATTTATACGCACATGCGAAAATCACTTCTGCCTCCTCCTCCACCCCGTGCTCAATTATAATTGACTTTATTTAATTAATCGAGTCACTTGTGTTGCATTGACTGCGAATTCGAATATTAAAAGCGAGTTCAATCAATATAATCGAGAAAGTCAGTGTCAAAAGTGACGTCATTGAGTTTTTCTATATGTATGTGTGTATATATTACAAAACCAGTTTGATCTTACATAGATATTAATTGACCTGAAGCTGTAGAACAATCAAAGGAGCTAACTAGCTAGTAGAAAGATTTTTAAGGGGTTGCTATATCGTGCCTCTGTTCAGTGTTATCATCTGTAATCAGATATTGTGAATAAAATGGCATTCATATCCATATATACATACATTAAATATGTATATATCAATGGGTCTTTTATGTTGTGCCATTATTCTGTCACGTTTTCATGACGATGACTCAATTGCTTTTTTTTTTATCGGGGTCGTTGTTTCTCTTTGCCTACGACGCTTACTTCAACCAATTCGAACTGAAAGTCGTGTGCCCACATTTATGTTGTACGAAGCGATATTACATCATCATCATTATCGTCAACTTCATCATTTCGATTATTTTCGTAAAACCTATCAGAGGGGAAAAGTTTTACGAACTTTAAAGGGCAGAGTTTATTGTTTTCGATATGTTAGAAGACATAAGAAGTTGAGTTTGAATCTAGAAGACCCATGTCATTAAAATGAGCCGCTGAACTTGTTCAGTGATCAGTAAATGAGCCACCTAATTGCTCATAAATGATTTATTTCGTTTCATTGATTGAACTTTAGAGTTTACTGTTTATTGAGTTAGTACAAAAGTGTCGTCAATGGAACTTGTTCTGAACTAGAAAAACAAAATGAAATAGATTTAAAAATTGTTATTTTGCTTATGATAGTTCATATGAACAATATGTTCTATTGAACTGTTCAGCTATTCGTTTAGCTAATGGAACTTGTACTAATTGTTCTCATGTGTTCATACTTCCATAATGATTTTCATACGCTAGTTCATATGATCAATAAGTTCTATTGAGCTGAATAGTTCTATTAAACAACTTAATAGGTGAATAACTGTTCATGCTTCATGGTCAACTGTATAGTTAATGAACTGTTGAACTAGTTCAAACAGCAAGCAATTAGTTTAAGTTTACACTTGGAAATTGAAGGAAATATGGTATGTATTCACTCATGATACGGTGCTTTACGTAGATCAGTGAGCTAAGGTTCAGGGTTTATATTAGAAGAATGATCATATAAAAAAAATGAATGAAAATAACTCTTAAGGTGTTGTTATATTTAAAGATTATGATTAAGCACGGTCAAGATTTGTTGTGAGTAATTTGCTTGGATAACAAAAGGATTTCAGCTCATTTATTTGCTGTTGCATTTGATCTATTATTATATTATCTAATTATATATTCTATTGTATATGCTTCTGCTTCCTTCTTGGCCCCATTTGGAATTACTCAATTTGTAGAACGGCTCTTCTTCTTTCTGTAATGAGTTCTCTTCCTCTAGTGCTTTGTGTGTAACCTGACTGTATCTTATCGGACAATGAGTTTCTTATACTGTTTACTACTTACTTACTTTGCCCCCATCATCCTCTGTTGCTGTTACAGTTTATTTTGTGAAGCTTTTTATGGCCATTAACTTATCAGACGAGGCAACTATTACTACAGTATCACCTATCTATTGTTGTTGTTGCTCTTTCAACACTTTGTGGGCACCATTTACACGACGCGTCGCAATTGCTTTCAACATCAACAACACAAACACACACACACACACACACACACACACACACATACACCATTAGAAACCTCACCTGTTGTTGATATCAGTTAACA